TTTCCAACAACTCCCCCTCCCTGTAAGAAACATCAAATAGGTTTACAGAATACAATATCACAACCAGAAGTATTTCCATTGACTAAGTCAAAATCTCATGAATCGCAATTAGCAAACCGTCTTGAAAATGGAGATACAGCTTCAAGGTACTTAAATTCCTAATCGTTTCTTTATATAACTTTCAGATCCATATCAAATATGCTTTATACTTTCCACAGTTGTAGGAACGATCATGTTGGATCTGTGGGAAGAAGAAATCGTCTGCCTACAGAGACTGGATCTTGTAGCAGTAATGCAGATATTACGGGGGAAAATCTGTTGCTGAATAGTAATAGCCCTATTAAGTCACCACCATACTCTAGTGCAGAAAACGATGATAACAGTTTTAAGGGAACAGGTAATTGCAGTTTCATTTGATTCTCGGCAGTTTGTATTTATAAATATACGTACAACAACGTTGTTAAATCTTTATCTTTCCATAGTAACAAGTCTCCAAGTGCCAAAGTCACCACGTACTCCGACTGCAACCCGGGGAATGGGGCATATAATTGCTCACCGCTTTACCAAAAGGTTTAATATGATGACAACATGCGATTATTGTGACAAGCAAATATTCATGGATACCGGTTTTAAGTGCACAGAGTGTAAATATAAGTGTCACCGGGATTGCGAATCCAAAGTACCACCTTCTTGTGGCCTACCTCAAGAGCTCTTCGACGAGTTTAAAAGAAGTGTACAAGGCGACGGTACGTATAAGATTTGAAAGTGAACATTCCCGGACGATATTAACTAAAATTCATTTTTCCAGCAATGGTAAATGCTTCTCCGATATTAAGTAAGCCTGGTATTACATCTCCCAATCATCACAACTCAAATTTATTGAGCTCTTTGAACCGAAAGGATCGGAAACGATCGCATCCACATTCTTCTGCGAAAATACCTTTTCAGGTACGTTAAATGTTACTTATTATCTTCCATTCATTTCTTAATAATAGAAATGTTCAATGCAGAATATTTCTCAGGGCGCGGATTCTAGTTCAAATACCTCGAGCTGTAACAGCTCAACGCCTTCTAGTCCAGCTTTGCTACCTGTCAATACTAGCCAAACTCCACAGGCACCTGCCAAACCACAGTTCCATTTTCCAGGTATTAAATTCTTCTGCATAGTTTCTTACCGCGTGTGATCGGAGGTTTATTCAAACTTACTTTTAGACGTTGTGCTCAATGATAAAGGTGTTACGTTAGGGACCCATCGCCTCGAAAGTACAACTGTATCGAGCGATAGCGAGAGGACAGTGAGCGTTTCAGGATCTGGTTGTGTTAGCACGGATTCTGAACGAACGCCTGTCAGGGTTGATTCTCAAGACTCTCAAGTATCCGATGGAGAACCAGGAGACAGTCGTTGGCCACGGCAGAATAGTGTATGTACCTTCGATGTAATTGAATTCTATAAAAATATTATTATATTTAAATAAGTATATTATAGTTGTCAATGCGAGAATGGGACATTCCTTACGATGAATTGAAAATTGGCGAACCTATAGGTACTGGAAGATTTGGTACCGTGTATAGAGGCTATTGGCATGGTAATGTTGCGATTAAAGTACTGAACATGGACTATTATTTAGACGATGATAAAACACTGGAAGCATTCAAATTGGAGGTATGATGAAGGATATATATTTTTTTTTGATTGTTCAATCGCGTTCATTAACTTAATTCTATAAAAGTACATGAACGTTGAATTTTATTAAGTAATGTTCATTGTTGAAATTTACAGGTGGCTACATTCCGGAAGACTAGACACGAAAATCTAGTTTTATTTATGGGAGCTTGCATGAAGCCTCCTCGCTTGGCGATAGTGACTAGTATGAGCAAAGGCATGACTCTTTACACTCACATTCATCTGCGTAAAGATAAGTTTAATATGAATAAAACCACTATCATCGCTCAACAGATTTCTCAGGTATGTTTCTGTTGGGAATATTAAACGAGTACAATACTGGCATGATTATTTTGTACAGAATGAGTTGTGCTAGGTTTTGATATATTTTAAAATCTGTTCCTTATTATTCAGGGAATGGGATATCTTCATGCTCGTGGCATAATTCACAAAGATCTCAAGAGCAAAAACATATTTTTAGAAAACGGGAAAGTTGTAATAACCGATTTCGGATTGTTTAGCGTTACAAAGCTGTGTTATGGAAATAGGTGAATATATAATTCAAGGAAACACGCATGTTTGTCCTCTTGAAATGTGATCATAATGTTTATTTTATATTTGACATTTTTTTCTTTACATGTAGGAAAGGAAATGCATTGAGTATACCACCTGGATGGTTGTGTTATTTAGCTCCTGAAATTGTTCGACGACTGAGACCTCAACAAAATCGGGATCAGGAAGAATTACCTTTTACAGAAGCTTCCGACGTTTATGCATTTGGGTAAGTGTAATCAATTATCTAAAAATATACATTAGATAATTTCAAATTTAATTTGATATCTAAAGAACTTTCTTTAAATTGTTTTTTTTTTATTATTCGCAATCAGATTTCTTAGTTTGTTATACATCGATTTTTCGATGAAGAAAAAATAATAAAGTATTTTATTATAG